GAGAGAGAGAGGGAGGGAGAGAGTCAAACCTGAGGAATATGTCTTCGAGGCTTGGCTGATCGCACATGATGCTTATCTGAGAGAACTTCCTCATAAGCTTTCTCAAGGGTTGGGGGCTTGCTCTTAAAAGCCAGGATTCTCGTTCTATTTTGGAATACAATCTCGGAGAGACGCTTCCTATAAGCCTCTTTTGATGGTGAACCAGAGGTGGTATTCTCTTTCTTTGAATCCATGAGCATATATCGAGCAACATCAAGGTCCATTGCTCTTCTATCTGGGATGAATCTATCACTCTGTTTTATAGAAAATGAAATTAAGTAAGACATGGATCAAAGAACAAGACAATATGGAATTGGCCTTCATTCACAAAATATTACTTAGAAGCGAAAGAAACAATTGGGATTTTCTTAGGCCCAGGTTCAATATTAATGGAAAAGGGGAAACCAAGTTCTAATTCATGAGAACAAAAATTTATGAGAAAACTAACATTATGTGGAAGCGTTCACAAAATATTACTCAGAAACAAGTGGGATTTTCTTAGGCCCAGGTTCAATATTAACGGAAAAGGGGAAACCAAGTTCTAACTCATGAGAACAAAAATTTATGAGAAAACGAACAGTATGTGCATGGTTCAATGAAGAGGAAGATGGAATCGACCATGGAAATGGTCCGAAATGAATACATAGTAAACATAAGACAAGGAATGTGAAGAGAAGGCTGAATTCCATTAAAATCAAATACCCAAATTTATAATTCCTCAAAAATCTCAAATAACTACAGAAATAGAATAAAAAAGTGAAGGAAAGTTAGTTTGTTATTTATCAAAGATCAAAACAAATAGAGTAATCTATCATGGAAAATAGTTTCAATATACAATAAATATTACCCAAGAAATAGTGAAACTTTAACTGACTGAAACCCTAACTTCCTAATTCCTCTAGATCACATATCATTCCATAAATAAAAAATCTACAAAGAGAATCAAAGTCACAAATAAAAAAAGAGGCTTCAAAAGCACATATTTCTTAGGTTTTGCCTTGAAGGAGGGTCACACGTCTCTTCAAGAACAAAAAAACATGGAATTGGACTACAGAAATAGATTGAAATTACAAAATATTATTCAGAAACTTAAGAAGCCACAAACAGAAATAAGAAAAGGTCCATATAACTCAAGGAAGGAACCTATGTCAACAGCAAATAAATCTTGACTCAACAAGAACAATAAAACATGGAATTGGCCTCTGGAAATAGATTGAAATTATAAAATATTACTCAGAAATTGAAGAAAGAAGCCACAAACCGAAGCAAGAAATCTTGACTCAAGGAAGGGACCTATGTCAAGGGAAAATAAATCTTGACTCAACATGAAGTGGCCCTTTACAGCTAATAACCTAATATGGCAAATAAAACAATCAAGTAGCAAAATCTCAAATAGAGGATTAGAGTCTCCATCATCTCATGTGCGTTGCTAAGGGAAGACTCAATTGGATAAAAATAAACAACATGAGATAAGTCTAAGGTACCAAATGTTGTTATCAAAGAAAAAGAAATAAATGAAGAGAAAGCAAGCAATATGGAGAGACCATTAAAATTAGATACCTAAATTTACAATTTCCTCAAGAATTACAAATAACTACATAAATCATAAACAAGTGTCATTTGTGATTTATCAGAGAGCAGAGAAAATGGAGAAATCAATCATGGATAATACTTAATACTATAAAATATCATCCAAGAAATAATGAAACAGGCGAAAAATCAAGATCAAACCCTTTAACAACTGAAACCCTAACTTCCTAATTCCTGGAGAATTTCATAATAAAGAGGCTACGAAGCACAAATTTCTTACGTATTGTTGCTTTGAAGAAGGTCTTCTTGGAACCATCTGCTCACGAAGAGGGTGAGGCCTCTCTTGCTTAATTGAAGCAGAGGAAGAGAGAGAACCTGCATCCATAACTTAAAGAAAAAATAGAAAATACCTGCAAAACAGAAAAAAGCACAAAAAAATATCTACGCAAAAATAATAGAGAATAGCAACAAATTCACAGAACACTTGAGCACTTGGTGATTGATAGAGAAAGCGAGAGAGATGGAGGCTCCTTTTCACAGAGCGATTGAGAGAGAGAGAGAGAGAGAGCATTTTTGGGTGTTTGGTAAGACGGGTGCCCTTTAATGTGCTTTCAGTAGCCAACGGTCGAAATTAGGTTCCTTAACTCAAGGAAACTAGCCGTTTGATGAAAAGCTAAAAATAGAAAACATCGACTTAACGTTACGTAACGGTTGTTTTCTTAGTGTAATTAACGTGTATATTTCTGCCGTTATTTCAAAAGTACGGTTTCTTTTTTCGTTCTTTTTTCTTTTTTTTTTCTTTTTGAAGTTTCTAATTTGTTCTTCACTTTAGAAAATGATAAAATGGCAATAGTATTTCGACGGTCGTTGTTTAAAAAAGTAACTCATGTGAACTTTCAAAATCCAAAACTAAACACATTTGGAATTAATTTTTTAAAAAGTTTGATATTCAAAATCCAAATATCTGAAATTAGTTTAATTCTTAATTTTAGATTTTTAAGATCCAAAATATTGGGAAAAATATTAAGTTTAGATCTTTGGATTTTGAATATCGATAATTCTAAATAGGGTGCGGTTTGTATAGAGCCGAGGCTCCAAACAATCAAAGTGAAGCGCACCCTCAAATAGTGTTGAGAAATGTGGTTTCAATATTGGAAATTTTTGAGATAGCCTTAAAATATATTGTCATCTTCAATTATAAAATTTAAAGCTTCAAAACTAGTGTAGATCAAACAGATCTATGAACATTTTAAAAACTTGAAAATTGACGGTCCAAAAATGTGTTACAAGATGTAGTATTTCCAAAACGTGAAATCCATTTGTTTCTCATGTCCATACATCTTGATGTCCGATCACTTTAAGAATATTTAGGCATCAAAACAACCTCTTTTAATGAAATTTTTTATGTAGACTCTAATTTGATTTTTTAAAGGCTCTGATCAATATAAACCTTTTCCTTTTAAAAAGAACTGAAGTTGTATTCGCAATTTTGAACATGATTCATTTGTTTGTTGTAGTAAAAAGGATATTAAAAGATTAAATATAAAAGTATATTAAAGTTAGAATTTATGGGACTTACGTGAATTGTTTGATTCAAATTAAGTGGACCTCGGAAAAAACTAGGCGATTTTGTCCAGATAAATTTGATGCTCGATTCTCCAAGGGAATTGACCTGGTTACTACCAATTATTACTCAAATAAGAAATTTCGAAACTAAATGGATAATTTTTAAAACCATGTGTTCATTGTGAAATAAATCTACTTGACACTTTCAAGGGAGAGGGAGGGAGAATGACAGACTCCAATGTTTGTTTCATATTGAGGAAAATGAATGGAGCATTTTGATGTCTATAGGACAATATGTTACCTTTAGGGGGTGTTTGAGAATTCAAATTTTCGGTACCCAAAGTTGAAAATTTCCCACTCACCATAGTTGTTCCTAGTCTGGCAACTGAACATATCAAAGCAAAAAGGAATCTGCATTTATCACAATGATATTGATATTGCTTTAGGTAAACTATAATGTAAAGTTTTTTTTTTTTTTTGTACAAATTTGTGTGTGAGAAGCGTAGATGCTCAAAATTTTAGCTCAATCCAATGCATAGAAAAGATAAAATCGGACCACTAAAACAAACATGCTCCCTACCGTCTATGAGTGTAATTGATCATTCAAATTATTATTTCTTTCCAAATTTCAATTGTTATAATTTTTACCGGTGTGTAAGCAAGATTTATAGAACCCCTGAAATTCGAGGTCAAATTAGAGGCATAAACCATTTTTAGGATTTTAAATTGTATAATTAGGGTAAAACTTGATTTCTAGGCTATTGTAAGGGTCTAACAAATCTTGGAGGTGTGTGTTGCATCAATTATTTAAGGTCGATGCCTTGCATAAATGTCCCTTCTTTCTAAAGCCAAATAAAATCTCGTATACATGCCTTTTTTCTGTCTTACCCTTGATCCAAGGGAAATCTTCACATGTGTTACCACTCGCATATAAAGACTGTTACTCCTAAATGTCCGATCTTAATTGAGGATTGAGATAACTTTAGTCATGATACCAGAAGTTTACCTTCTTAAGTATTTGACCTTGATTGGATGGATCGATATATTTTACTTTTAGTTTTTATAGGGGATGTAATAACAATGAATAAAAATATTTTGACAAATAGATTGATAAAAAATGCCCCTACACTAATACAGCTCAACCAATTTATTTCTACTATAAACATATTTTTTCTCTTTTTCTTTTATTTTACAAAGATTAAATAGACCTTTCCTAACTTTTGCTTCTCTCTAACAGCTAGTTTCCTCGACCGCTATATTCCATATTCTTAAAATAAGAAACTCTAATTTCTTTTTCTTTCATTTTACAGGGATTAAATCAACATTTCATAACTTCCACTTTTCTCTAATGGCTAGTTTCCTCAACGGCTATATTCCATGTTCTTAAAATAAGAACCCTAATTTTGACTGAAAACGTGTCAAAGGGAAGGGTCTCATGGAAACGCTCCGATGGAAACTCTCTCTCTCTCTCAATCACCATTCACTCTTTGAAAAGGAGAGCCTCAATCTCTCGCTTTCTTTATCAATCACCAAGAGCTCAATTTTTCCGTGATTTTGTTGCTATTCTCTGCTATATTTGCACAGATACTTGTTTGTGTTCTTATAGTAGAGAGATTACATGGAGGTAAATGTACAGATGGCGGCAACCCACAGACGCTCAGACTACAAAATGTAAGAAGAGTATAAAGAGCCAAAGAGATGGACAAGGAGAGGAAATGGTATAATAATACATAAAAAATCTTACAAGGTGGACCACAAAAATCTTGAAAAGCATCCAGAACAGGGTTTATGAGGAGAGTTAGAGAAAAAAGTGTAAGGAGGGAGTGATGACTAAAGAGATGAAAAGCATTAGTCATCAGTTGCCAGGCTAGGAACTGCCATGGTGAATTGGAAAATTTCAACTTTTGGTACCCAAAATTCGAGTTACCAAACACCCCCTAAAGGTAATGTATTGTACCATAGACAATCATAATTCTCCATGCACTGTCCTCAATATGAAACCAACCTTGGAGTCTGTCATTCTCCCTCCCTCTCCCTTGAAAGCGTCTAGTGGATTCATTTCACAATGAACACATGGTTTTAAAAATTGTCTATTTAGTTTTGAAGTTGCTTATTTGAATCATAATCGGTGGTAGTCAATTCCCTTGCAGAATCAGTCATCAAATTTATCAGAACAAAATCACCTAGTTTTTTAAGAGAACCACAAAATTTGAATCAAACAATTCACGCAAGTCCTTTAAAATTTAATTTTAATGTACTTTTACATTTAATATGTAATATCTTTTTTACTACAACAAAACAATCATATTCAAAATTGCCAATCCAGATTTACTTTTAAAAGGAAAAGGTTTATATGGAGCTGAGGCTCTAAACAATCGAATTAGAGCCCACATAAAAAAATTTCACTAAAAGAGGTTATTTTGATGCCTAAATATTCTCAAATTGATCATCTTGACGTCAAGATGTATGGATATGAGAAAAAATGGATTTCAAGTTTTGGAAATAGTATATCTTGTAATACATTTTTAGATGGTCAATTTTCAAGTTTTTAAAGTTTTCTTGATTTGCTCAATCTACACTATTTTTGAAGCTTTACATTTTATGATTAAATATGACAATATATTTTAAGGTTATCACAAAAAATTCAGTATTGAAACCACATTTCTCGACACTATTTGAGGGTGCGATTTATTTTGATTGTTTAAAGCCTTTTTCAAAATTATAGATCTTCAAAATCCAAAGATCTAAAATTAATGTTTTTCCCAATTTTTTGGATCTTAAAAATCCAAAATTAATAATTAAACTAATTTCATATTTTTGGATTTTGAATATCAAAATTTTTAAAAAATAATAATTCCAAATGTGTTTAATTTTGGATTTTGAAAGTTTACATTTGAGAGACTTTTATAATCTATTTAGTATCATAATTTATGTCATTTTTCATTAAACCCATTACTACTTTTATTTATTGAATTAATAAATTTATTTTTTATATGATTCAAAATGAAGAACTATATTGTTGGGCTTGAATAAATTTATCATATTGGCCTTTTATTTAAAAAAAAAAGGCTCACTATATCTTTTTTTTATGACACGAATAATTAGGTAACTGTTGCTAATAATCGACAGATAAGTCAATATTTATTTTTTCATGTGGATTTTTTTAGCAATTTTAGATCCCTATATATTAAAGTAGGTGAATTCAAGGCTTTCCTTTGCATTATTATAGTAAAAAATTGAGGGTTTTGCTTTCATTTATTATTTATTATGATATTTTTATTTGATGTCTCGTTTTTATAAATGCACGTATAAAGTATTTACTGTTTATTTTTTTATTTAATTCCCCCATCAAATTATAAATTCAATAGTGATTTTGGATTTTATTTATTTATTATGAAATTTTTTTAATGTATAACATAATTTTAATTATGTATATCTATACTACGTTGTTAAAAAAGAATTAAGAGGTTAAAATTATGTATATTTATACTACAACAATAATTAAGAGGTGGACTCGTGTAGCAAAAATAAAAAAAGACGCTAATGTTGTAGAGGTTGTAGGGCTATACCTATGTTTAGTGGAAGAGAGAGACTAAAAATTTGTACGGGTAGAGTAGAGATTTTAAGGAAAGAGAGAGAGAAAGTAGAGATTTTAGGAAGAGAGAGATATTGTTTTCTTAACTTATTGAAAAATAAGAGAATTTTATTTATTCAACCCTTTCTTAAAATTTATGTGTGAAAAGCAGATAAAAGAGGATCTCTACCATATCCTAATATTTTATGCGTAAAGTGTATCTACTTTAGGAAGAGGGGCAAGCTTTCTATGTTTCCCTTACATCATACAACTTATATACTTCCCTTTATCCAACCGTCCATTCTGAAGGG